GTATACAATATGTATATCCCAGCTCCCCTGTACTCCATTATAGTGATATGACATGTATACAGTAATGTATATCCCAGCTCCCCTGTACTCCATTATAGTGATATGACATGTATATAGTATGTATATCCCAGCTCCCCTGTACTCCATTATAGTGATATGACATGTATACAGTAATGTATATCCCAGCTCCCCTGTACTCCATTATAGTGATATGACATGTATACAGTAATGTATATCCCCCTCCCCTGTACTCCATTATAGTGATATGACATGTATACAGTAATGTATATCCCAGAACCCCTGTACTCCATTATAGTGATATGACATGTATACAATATGTATATCCCAGCTCCCCTGTACTCCATTATAGTGATATGACATGTATACAGTAATGTATATCCCAGCTCCCCTGTACTCCATTATAGTGATATGACATGTATATAGTATGTATATCCCAGCTCCCCTGTACTCCATTATAGTGATATGACATGTATACAGTAATGTATATCCCAGCTCCCCTGTACTCCATTATAGTGATATGACATGTATACAGTAATGTATATCCCCCTCCCCTGTACTCCATTATAGTGATATGACATGTATACAGTAATGTATATCCCAGAACCCCTGTACTCCATTATAGTGATATGACATGTATACAATATGTATATCCCAGCTCCCCTGTACTCCATTATAGTGATATGACATGTATACAGTAATGTATATCCCAGCTCCCCTGTACTCCATTATAGTGATATGACATGTATACAGTAATGTATATCCCAGCTCCCCTGTACTCCATTATAGTGATATGACATGTATACAGTAATGTATATCCCAGCTCCCCTGTACTCCATTATAGTGATATGACATGTATACAGTAATGTATATCCCAGCTCCCCTGTACTCCATTATAGTGATATGACATGTATACAGTAATGTATATCCCAGCTCCCCTGTACCCCATTATAGTGATATGACATGTATACAGTAATGTATATCCCCCTCCCCTGTACTCCATTATAGTGATATGACATGTATACAGTATGTATATCCCAGCTCCCCTGTACTCCATTATAGTGATATGACATGTAGACAGTAATGTATATCCCAGCTTCCCTGTAGTCCATTATAGTGATATGACATGTATACAGTAGTATTTATTGGTAAAAATCACAATACCAAGAGGCTGCTCACAATAATAACAAGGGTCACAGACCCATCAGGCATGTACTGTGTAACCCACAGTCAGGTGTACATACAAGGAGTCCCAAGATGGCGACTGCCATCCATACATTGTGTCAGACTAGAGCGTGGTGATATCATTACGTATGGATGGCAGTCACCATCTTGGGACTCCTTGTATGTACACCTGACTGTGGGTTACACAGTACATGCCTGATGGGCCTGCGACCCTCGTTTTTATTGTGAGTAACCTGTTGGCATTGTGATTTTTACCAATAAATACTAATTTACTACACTATGGAAGTTCTCTTTCTGACTTCTCTTTGAGCCATTGAAGATCCCCTAAAGGTGTTTTTTGACCGTTTTTTTTTTTATCTCTGTGGGAGCTGTCCCTGTGTCCAGTCAGAGGGAGAGATCTATCCTGCCTGGGATCATCCGGTGATATTAATTGCTTTATGACTCCTTGAGGGTCAAAATTTTAAGGTGAGCGCACACGCCAGAAGGTGATGGATAGATTGGCACCATCTTTATAAGCACGCAATATAAAGTTGAAGAATTGAAATCTGGATTTTTATTTATTATTTTTTATTGTTTTAATTACACTTGGGACTTTTTGCAATTTATTATTGTCACGGTGTATAATTTGGTCACTTTGATTGCAATTATCATCATTTCTAAAATCACTTTTTGAATCATGTTACACTTTATACATCTGTAATTAAGTATATTGATTATACATAGTGTCACATTATTATTTATATTTATTCACAATTTCTAATATTATTGCTTGGCATTATTTAATTTAATATATCATAGCACACACAGCGCTACACCATTTTTTATTAATTTGCTTTACATGGTAGTTAATCAGCTTCTAACTTCAGTGTGTTCATTTAAACTTTGGCAAAAAAACCCTGGAAGCTGATAGGTTTCTATGCAGAGCTGCAGCAGATTTTTCACTCACCAGTTTTAGTAAATCTCCCCCAATGTGTTTTTATGGGTAAACCTGTTTCTGAGTAATGTCTCAAAAGTCCTACTATTCTCCATATTTGTTAAATACGTCTAAAGGACTCATCTCCCTGTCAGCTAACTGTAAACGTCCGCAGGACAATTCAGGCTGATTCAGGACATAAAACTCTGTTGACCTTTGTGGTTGGGCCTGTTGGCACGTTGTTTGCCCATTCATCTCATTCTTTAAGTCAACATCCCAGGGTGAATTAATATTCAGCCTGTGTCCTGTACTTTACAATCAAGAGAAAACGAATCTGGGCTATCTGTACCCATAAAGCCCATATTTTGAAGTACAGTACAAGCCCCGTACCACCTTCCCTTCTATTCCTGTGTTCCTCTGTATTGCTTTCTACAAAACCGAGGACTCGGAGTGGGGTATGGGTACAGGGTGGATGTTCAGGGGGCATGTTCTCAAATGTTTGTCAGTGTCCAGTCACCTAAAGGTACCAGTTTATAATGGGTCTATGAATGTTCAGCCTGTTTCTTGTACTGTACTACAAATGTGGAATTGGAATATGGAATTTACAATCAAAATTTGTTTTATTACAGCTTATCAGTCCTTAGATGCAGGGGTGGACTGACAACTCATGGGGCCCCCGGGCAATAGGGGATCATGGGGCCCCTGTGTCCTTGCCCAAACTCAAAAAAGCCTATGAAAAAGGTACCAGGGGCATCTCATGGGGCCCCCTACTGACCCCGGGCCATTGGGCAGTGCCCGAGTTTCCAAATGGGCAGTCCGCGCCTGCTTAGATGTGTTTATTTTTTTGTTCAGGCTTTTAAAAAAAATGTTTATCTGCTGATCCTGCCAGTATACTCAATTCCTGTCCTAGGGTGGCCCACCCTGCTGTATCATTGGGGGAGCAGCATTGTCAATCCAGGACAGGAAGTGTATTAGGACTGCAGAACACCTCTCTTTCCCATCCCCATAGTGTAAGAGGGGGGTGTTCTGTAGCTCAGAGGTGAACTAAGCATATTTTAGTTTTTAGTGCAGCTTATTCAACGTATTATGGGAAGTTAGAACCTCAGTAGGTATGTTTTGTATCTGTATCAAACAGACACAGAATAGCAAACATATATTTAACAGATAGTTAGGTTTTTAGTTGGGGTTTACATACACTTTAACCACTTGTCTACCAGCACCACTTATATACAGTGGCTGGTAGAGTAGGGTTTTAAACACAGTACCAGCTACTATGGTGGAGGGGAACATGTTTATGTATGTTCTGCTGGTGATGGGCTTTCAGGTGGAAGTGATTCAGCTACTGTGGCCGGGGAAGAAGCTAATGGAACATGATTTGTACTCTATTAACTTTACTGGAGGGCAGGGGGAGACATCAGGGGAATAATAGACCCCTGCTGTCTCAGTAATGAGAAACTGTCATTACAGTATGCTGTCATATGGGGACTATTTGTCCCCTATGTGATAGCAAAAAAAAAAAAAAAAAAGTTTCAAGTCCCTTGCCCCCACTTACAGAAAAATAAGAACATAAAAGCATCTGGTGGATGCAACCATATATAAAAATGCACTACACATGTTACATGCTCATAATATTTCATCCCCCCACGTGCCTCTTCCCCTGATTTCTCAGTGAGGATCAATAGCACAACTATCAACCCATACCTGCATGCCAGGGTGCTAGGGGTAACCCTGGATTTTGAACTATCCTTTCAGGCCAACATCCATTTCCTGTCCAAATCATGCCACCTCAACCTCCATAACATCTCCAGAATATGTCCCTTTTTAACCAATGATACCACAAAGCTTCTAATTCACTCCCTGGTTGTATCTTGCCTCGACTACTGCAACTCCCTCCTCATTGGCTTACCTTTACATAGGCTGTCCCCTTCTTCAGTCCATCATGAATGCTGCTGCCAGGCTCATCCACCTTACCAACCGTTCAGTGTCTGCTACCCCTCTCTGCCAATCCCACCACCGGCTTCCAATCGCCCAAGGAATAAAATTCTAAATACTAACAACACAAATCCATCCATCCACAAATCTACCCCCAGCTACATCACCAACCTGGTCTCAAAATATCAACCAAACCGCTCTCTTCGATTCTCCCAAGACCATCTGCTCTCTAGTTCCCGTGTCACCTCCTCCCATGCTCACCTCCAGGACTTCTCCCGACCTCCTCCCATCCTATGGAACCTCCCTACCCAATCTATCCAGCTATCTCCTAATCTATCCACCCTTAGATAATCCCTGAAAACCCTTCTCTTTAAAGAAGCCTATCCTTCTTCTAACTAGTAAACTTCCTTTTATTTCCTCCATCAGCTCATCACCCCCACAGCTATTACCTTTTGTATCACTCAACCCTGGTTGTACAGAAGTCGATCGGTACACTGCTGCCCTACAAACCCTATCCTCTGACCTGTTGACCCCCAGTACACTCCGCTATTGATTCCTGTTTTTGTACACTGCCCTGCAGACCTCATACCCTGTGCCCCCTTGACGTTTTACTGCACCCCCATATCATACTGGCTAGATCCGGCCCTGATTTAACATAGGTTGCAACTACCAACATTTTATTTTGCAGGGTCTTTGCTTTCAGATTTTATATATATTGTATGAACTAATTTTCAGGCCTAAAATGTGCAAAACCTGAAAAATGGCCCTGGTAGAAAAGGTGTAAAAGACGAACAACTCTTTTATAATGGCTCGTGACTTATGCCATCCCGCCTTTACCAAGGTCTGTTGCCTAGCTCAGGCAGTGTACTGGCAGTGTACTTTACAAGCACAGAATAACACCGATATACCTATATATGTTGGCAAATAAAATGGATGCTTTTACTGTACTTACCATCCATACCAGCTCCTTTTTGCACACTGCTCCTTGTAGGCTAAATCAAAGCACTGCACCTTAATGACATTGAAGAAAGCCTGCCCCACCACCCGTGAAGCTGTATCATTGACTTTTCGAAGGCAGTCTTTAAACCTAGGGGGAAAACATAACAATCAACAGCACATTAATGCAGTGGTAAAGCTGTCATTGCAAGCAGACAATAGCAATTCCTTACACTTTACCTGCAAAGTTTTATTTCTTTATTACTGTCATTTATGTAGCATACCAGAAGTTTCAAGACAGATTAAACCCCCAAACAAATGAATATATTGCAGTTACTTACTTGGCAATGGGTGTACCCCTGAGGACATGCATGCGTACGAAACGCGTCGGTCGGAGCCTACATTGCTGACGTCACGCCGCCACTGCCGAACGACGGAGCGGCAGGAATTTTGGTATCTGTCATTTGTATTTTTATCATTCCACGTGGATTTTATTATGTGCTTCTGAAATTAATAAAATTACTATACTATATACGGATTTCTGGCTCTTGTGGTTGAGCTATCTTCCTTAGGACAAGATCCCTTCATCCATCTATGCCCTAATGGAGCTATATGGTTAACCCCCTGGCTGCTTCTCCACCTCCAAATGTGATTCACTATATGCCTGATATCACATACCTTCTGGTGAGTGTACACCCGTCCGAGGTGGTGGATTTCCCTGTGTGATTGATCGCGCACTCACACCCTGCACTCTGCATTATTGCACTTTATTATCACAAGGACACTATTAGAACGCAGCTATTTGGATGGAACTTTGATTATAATATTGCATATATTCGATGTATGCATTTGTGAACATCATTGATTTTATTTATTACACTGTAGTGCACGTAATGTCACATTTATTTATTGATAATTCCCATATCTATGCACAATTTTTTATATATTTTCTATATATGCTGTATTAGCTGCAACTGTGAATAGTATTGAATTTATCTATTGCACTTTAGTGCACGGAATGTTACAGTTACTCACAAACTTTATTTCCTGTTGATTTTCATATTTATGCGCAAGTTTTACAATTTTATATGTTGAATTTGACTGTTTCACTTGATATATATATTTTTAGCGCTGCACTTTCTTATATATATACCTGTGGGGATTGTTACCTGTACCTTTAGTGCCAGCTGCTTTAACATTTTTATCAGCGCTCGCCTGCATATTTTATATATATTGCAGTTACTAGATGTGGTATTTGCATTAGCTTTTTAGACTTGTTTTCCTTTATTTTAACTTTTAAATTCTTCCAGTAAGTCTGTAGTTTTTAAACTTCCTTAAACAGACCAAGTTGTTGAAAGCGGAAGGTGGCATTCTCCAAACACTTTCAGTAGCAAGCAGTAACCAGCCATTGGAACATTTATATTTCAGTACAGTACAGTGCAGGTTTCCTTTAGGGCCCATTTATACTTGCATATATATATATATACAGTTGCATGCATGTTAATGCTTGTGACAACACGTGGTGTAAGTATTGTTTGATGTATTATTACTACTACATTTTCTTGCCATATACTGTACACATATTTTAGGCGCACTCTGAAAACCCATCTCTTCAGTGCAGCCTACCCCGACCCCAGCTAATACTGGAATCCTCTACTCTTCCTACCACTCCATTCCCACAGCTAATTACCTCTTGTACCACTATCCCCTCCCTCCTAGATTGTAAGCTCCAAGGAGCAGGGCCCTCTAATCCCTCTTGTATTGAACTGTATTGTTACTGTACTGTCTCCCTCCATAATGTAAAGCGCTGAGCAAACTGTTGGCACTATATAAATCCTGTATAATAAATAATAATAATAATTCACCTGGCCCTCGTCAGAAATAAATTCCTTGCTCTTTTTGGTCAGTGGAAATGCACACTGGATGTATGTTCCCTTTATGGGTGCATTCACACTTGCGAATGCACCCTGCTGGCAATCACATGCGAGAACTTCAGCAGGGGTTCTCGTATTTAGTTGGAGGTAGGCAGCCCCATTGAAAGCAATGGGAGGCTGCTGGATCTCAAAGCTAATCGCGCCCACTTTCCTGTAATCATTCATGCTGCAATCACGTTCGGGTGATCAGCCCTGGACGCAGGCAAGCATGTGAGTGGGCACAATTAGCTGTGAGAGCTGGCAGTCTCCCATCGCTTTTAATGGGGCTGCCTACTTGCAGCTAATCACTGGTACCCCTGCTGGTAAGGTGCATTCCCAAGTGTAAATGCATCCTAAGCAGAGAGGGCATGAGCAATCAACTGTCCTGGCTGACTTGATTAGATGTGTTCATTTCAATAGTAGAGACCTTCTTTCGAGAAACAATGACTAAATGATTAGGTTCCATTCAGGGGCGGACTGACCATTTGGAAACTCAGGCACTGCCCGAGGGCCCGGGGTCAGTAGGGGGCCCCATGAGATGCCCCTGGTACCTTTTTCATAGTCTATTTGAGTTTGGGCAAGGACACAGGAACCTCATGATCCCCTATTGCCCGGGGCCCCATGAGTTGTCAGTCCGCCCTGGTTACATTACAAACAAAAAACATTTAGTTGCTACTGGAGTTCTTTAACAAGTACTTTGGGACTGTTTTATTGCAATGTCTTGGTTTTGTTAGTTAATATTATAACCACTTTAAAGTGTTACTAAACCCACAACAGTAAAATCAGTCTGTATATGCAGTAAAGCATGCTTGTTATACTCACTGCGGAACCTAAGGGGTTAATTGTGCAAAAACAGTGTTTGATTCTGACTTCTCTGATCCTCCCCTTCTTCCAGTGCCCCCTTCTTATCTCCTGATAAGACATATCACTCTGCACATACTCAGTTGGGTGTGTATTGCTAGAGAGTTTTTTTTTATCTTGGGAGAGTGACAGAGGTCACAGGTCCTGCATCCTCCTAGAGCAAAATGTAAACTTCAAGCTTTAACATGTGCTCAGCTGGACACTGATAGAAGTCACAAGACTGCTTAGGCTACTTAGGCTGCTTTCACATGTTTTTTGCGTAAAAAACAAATGCCTGAAAAACTCAAGAAAACTGCTTCCCTGTGTATGTAAATGTATATCTATGCATGTTTTCACACTGAGGTGTTGCGCTTGCGGTGTAAAAACTCCTGCTTGCAACATCTTTGAGGCATGCTTGGGGAGTTAAAAAAAAACGCCTCAAAAACGCCCATTACATTTATTCAAGGTCAATTTCATGCTACTTTTCCTCCCTGCCTCATTGATTGATGTTATCTGTATAACTATTCTCTGCATGGCTGTTTTGTATCATTTCAACGTGCAAGTGATCTCTGTAACATTTTATTTTTGATAAAACCCAACAAATATTTCTTTAAAAAAAAAAAAAAACGCCCATTGAAATGAATGGTAACCACTGCAAAATCGCTTAAAACTGCTCCAAAAATGCACCACACATGTGGGAAGGTCTGGCTGTTTCAGCTGTCAGCGGGGTTCCATCTCCTCCGGCCAATGTCGGCATCCGGCTTCCGTGTTCCGGTCCCTGTGACGTCGGGACGTACGGGTGCTGGAACCGGCGGCAAATTTGAAAATTTTAAAAAATGTCATTTTTTTCAGTATGACTATTACATAGTAAAACATTGCTGTTTCAATCCATTTCACATACATTTTGTCCCTACTGCTTTGTCCTGTCCCCTGCCTGCATTTTTACTGTTCTTTCTGCCTGGAAACTGAGAAATGTCCATGGCGTCCAAAAAGCGTCCCTTTACGTCAAAATCGGTTTTAGACCAGCTAGAGAACAGCGATAGTAAATCAGAACCACTTGCAGAATTGAGTGATAATGATTCGTGGGGAAATTCATCATCAGACACTAAAAACGATTCTGTGACTTTGCTCAGCGATGTGCGAACTTGGCGCTATATTTCAAATTTCAGTGTTTTTGGTTTGATTATATTATTTAATTAAATTTATTATTATTATATTATTATTTTTTATGATTATATATTAAATTATAATTTATGATTTTGTGTTTCAAATTTTATCATACCCGGGATGTTTACTAGACTCTTGTTCGGGCAGATTTCAGTGAGTTATTCCTAAAAATTACAGCCTACAATAAAAAAACTACATATTTCCATGCAAAAAAATGGTACCGCTTTCAGCACAAAAAATCGGAAAAAATCATACCGCCAGGGAGGTTAAAGAGGGTGTGGTTAAATAGAGTCTGGGGTGACTTACATAGTGCAGAATGGGGTAATGTTAAACAGGGAATGTGCAGTGCAGAACGAGGGAGGATGGATATGACTGTGCATGTGCAGGATGGAGATGACTTTGGTTGTGTGCACAGGCTGGAGATGACAGTGTGCTTGTGTGTGTAGGATGGAGGTGACAGGATGGAGATGACTGTGTGTGTGTGGGTGTGTCTGTGTGTTTAGGATTGAAGTGCCAAGATGAAGATGACTGTGTGTGTGTGCGCATGCAGGATGGAGATAACAGGATGGATGTGACTGTGTGTGTGTGTGAGCGTGGGATGGAGGTGACAGGATGGAGATGTCTGTGTGCAGGACGGAGATTATATTATTATTATACAGGATTTCTATAGCGCCAACAGTTAGCACAGCGCTTTACAAAATGAAGGTAGACATTAGTTACAATACAATTTGGTACAAGAGGAAACAGAGGGCCCTGCTCGTCAGAGCTTACAATCTAAGAGATGACTGTGCGTGAAGGATGGAGATTACTGTGTGCGTGTGCAGGATGGAGATGACTGTGTGTGCAGGATGGAGATGGCAGGATGGAGGTGAGTGTGTGTGTAGGATGAGGATGACAGGATAGAGGTGACTGTGTGTGTGCAGAATGGAGATAACTGTGTGTGTGTGTGCAAGATGGAGATGGCAGGATGGAGGTGAGTGTGTGTGTAGGATGAGGATGACAAGATAGAGGTGACTATGTGTGTGTGTTGGAAGGAGGTGACTGTGTGTTTGCAGGATGGAGGTGACTGTGTGAGTTTGTGTGCAGGATGGAGATGAATGTGTGTGTGCTTATGCAGGATGGAGGTGACTGTGTTTGTGTGTCGGATGGAGATATTTGTCTGTGTGTGTGTGTAGGATGGAGGTGACAGGACGGAGATGACTGTGTGTAGGATGGATGTGACTGTGTGTGC